TCTATTGCTTTAGATCTAAAATAGTTGTTATCAATGAATATGATGTGAATTTTGATTAAAAAAATTGAAAAATTTTGTTTTTGAATTGTACGAGTGATCTAGGACAGAAAGGTGAATTCCTTGGATAAGAAATCAAAAGATTACTGGACAGATGATGATGGCATTAATTTGTCGAAATGCATTACATTCAATAAAAATTTCCTCATTAATAATACGCGTGTATATGCATATAGAGTGTTTAGATTTTCGTTTGAACTATAGATCAGTTAAAGTTTTGATTTCTTACTCCGCGTGGAACTTGCTTAGAAGTTATTACAAAGCGTTTTGTTAGTTGGTTCACCTAAAATATTACAATCATCACCATGAATAAGTAGCGTTTGCTACTTTGCATGTTTTATTATAATTTTATCAGCTTTCAAAATGACCGTCAAGTTTAAATTAACGCAACTTGGCATTCGATACAAAAAACATTTGCTTTAACAATTTCGTTCAAATAAAAAAAACTCGGCAGATAAAGCTTTAACTATAGTTAAACATAACCTAGACAAAGGTTTCCCTGCAATTAATTGCCTTGATTGCTCAGCATTAAAGACAAAAAGCAGCAAAGTAAGGGGAATCATGCAGTGGGAAGTCCAAGAACTGCTATTAGAGAAAAACGAAAAACGAAACAAAAAAAAAAAAAAAAAAATTAAAAATATTTTTTCTTTGTAAAGCAGTAAATAAACCTTGTTCGTATATTTCGAGCTGAGTGATTGAGATTCGTTCACAGACCTTGAAATATACTCTTCAAAGTGAATTACTTTTTGTATACGAAAATTGTTTTGTATTTCTTTAAAATGATAAATGATTTGTTCAAACAACAAACTTTTCCGGCAGTGTTAAGTGGAAATGGAAAAGCGATTCTTAAACAGTTTGCTTCATCGTAGTCCAGCAAAATCAATATTCTTGAATCGTAGATAATTTCGTTTATCGTTCAATGTTCGTATCTTATTCTCCGTCAGTCGGATTTTCCGTGATTTGTTTTACACCCGTCACCGAAGGATAAGAGGTATATTCAACACGAAGTATATTTAAGTAAAGTATTCAATATAGAGTTCATACATAATGTGTCCGTCTCTCCGTCTGTGTGTTTTCTGTTTGTAAACATTCTTCTGACTGTACAAGTGATGCTATCGATTGCAAATTTGATAAGAATATTGGAAGTTCTTGCACACAGGTTGGTATTGAAAATGGACCTAATCGATCGAAAGACCCGTCTACAGTACTATGTAAAGTGAGGATAGCTCTCTTTTTCAAAAGAAATAAAAAACTGTTTTTTCGCATTTTCTTCAATACCTTATATAACAGAAGCGCAGAAGCAATCTTTAAAAGCCCCATGAAATAAATAGCTTCTTGTCCACTTTCAAATTCGGTATGCATCTGAGCATGTCTGTCTGCTTATCCGTCCATCTTTTCGCGTGCCTAATTGTGTAGCGTCTGTGGTAAGCATTTTACCGCTCGCAAAAATGAAGATATCGCCTACAAATTTGTAAAAGAATTTGAAAATGGTAGGACACCCCTGTCACGCCCATACGACTAAGAACACCTTTGCTTCTGGTGTTTCTTGCTTGCCACACATGCACTATATAAATTTTCATTTTCATAACATTCCAATATATTTCTTTCCTTTTTTTTGGTGATGAATGGTGGGTGTGAAAGATCGCCTGAAAGTGGGCATCGGAAACATTAAAATAATTGTAATACATTTTCTTCAATAGCTTAATATTTATAGCAAATATCGTTTGCATGGTCTATGCTATGGTCTGTTCATTAGGTATATCTTTAGATGAATTTCCTATTTGGCCCCAGTTAACTAGAAATCGAATAATGCGCTTAAAATTCATTGCTTAACCTGGTGTTAGTCCGCTGTCTTAGAATGTGTGCCTCGCTTCAATTGCGAGTTTCCGTACGCCTCGACAATCGTAGTTTCCAGTCTTTTTCATCACTGGCTTTAGATGGGTTTGGTAAACTTATTTCGCGTAACATTTACTGCGCTTACTTCATTCAAGTTTAGTTGAGAAACTCTGACTTAGAGGATCTCAAATTTATTATATTCTTTAGTGCTTAGTACTTAATGTCATTTATTAATGATTTTCCAAAGCAGTTTCTTAAAAAGCTTTCAAGTTCACATTTTTCTTAACCTTGATTACACAATTACAATTTCTATAATTTTGTAACATTTTGTAAAAAGAAATACGAAACTATTTAGAAAACAGGCAAAAGCAATTAAAAATATTGTTAACATAAAACCACTAATAAAACTAAACTGCACTTGAGACGAACCTTCGGCCTCTACGTATTCGATGAAGGCTATTTCAGCCTACCATTCTTCAAACGTTCCGTTTTATATCACAAAAATATATTGACATTTCTTTCAAGCAAAATTTTAAACCGCGCCGTTCTAAAATGCATAGGGGCTACCCCGCTTCGAAATTTGATCTAGAAAATGGTTGAAGTTGTAAAGTACCTTTAAATCTATCTCTGATATATGTCGTATATATAAACTACTACTACTTCAAGAATTATGCAATGAACGTGATACTCAGAGGCGGAGAGATTTGAACAACACGGTATATGGAGCAGCAATTCGAACTTAAATATCTGCAAAATTTACCATCCAAGCTGTTATAAAATGCATTTTCTCCACTGTAAATAAATACGACACCCACTTGGAAAATAGCTGTTTCGAGTCCAAAAGTGTCATGCAAGTGGATCTCATCAATTTTATGGAACTTCACTTCTCCATCTTTCACATTTCGTTTTCTGATGCAACCATCTCTTTTGGGCAGTGCCATTGGTGTCTGTATGACTTCAGGTGGCCGACAAAGTGTTGTTTTTGATAGCGAAAAGATGTCATAAGCCTTTTCAAGCGAATGCTGACTATAAACGAAATATTATTGGGCATCAAAGAGCGAAGACACGAAATTTGATTTGTTCATTGCTTTGAAAGTTCCGAATATTACGGTATCCAAACACAAGCATGGTAGCTCGTAAATGAGTGATCGAAATGATATGAAATTTTGGTAAGCCTTGGTTGAGGAGTGGCATTTTCTGAAATTGGTATGGACTTGTTTGTCGGAGCCGACGTGTACGTATCAGTTACGGGGACTATTCGCAGGGGAAGAGAGAAAGAGAGAGAGAGAGAGAGAGAGAAAAAGAGAGAGAGAGAGAGAGAGAGAGAGAGAGAGAAGGGCCCTTTAAAGGAAGCAAATTTCGTAAAAATATACTCACTCGCTGCTCAATCGTAATGAGTATCAGGAACACATTTGAACATCTAGTTAGTTAGTTAGTTATATACTTGGGCGTTTATAGAACGACAAATGAAGGTCTTTTTGATAATATATATGCAATAAAATTAGAAGCGATTTTAAGCGCGCTACTCAGGAATCGCGATTAACAATGAATGATTATGCTGATGCTGCGAACAACTTAAATGAAGCAATAGAAGCTTTTTTCAAGAGAGGGTATAGAAATATCTTAACGACGAAGATGTTTTGGTAATCAGTAGTGCGATTGTGTGACATATCTTTAAGAAAGATTGTTCATGCATTTAGTATGAACACAATTACCGTCGATTACTGTTACTGGGCATTTCCATGAGATAAGCATAAATATCGAAAAAAAGCCCAACTACGACTAACAATCTTGCCGCTCTTTTAATCGTTTATTAAAACTTTACTCCACAACAACGAAAGGTTAACGTGAAAACTAGACATATTCTGAACAATGTACACAATTCCCGTATTATAGGTTTTGTGTAATGTCTTTTCATAAGACGTTTGCGACAAAACCCCTCCGAAGGATAAACTTCACTCTTGATTCGATGCTAAGTAAATGTTCTGCTTGCAGTCAAACCAATAATTGAGGGCAGTGAATAAAATGTTTTCTTAATTTTTCCAATACGGAGTGTTTCATGTTACCATTCTTCTTCTTCTTCTTTTTTGCGAGAACGAAACCTAGCCGTAAGAATGCTACTCGATACAGTACAATAAGGAGGTTTAGTGCAAAGCGAAAAAGCAAGACTTTTTCGACTGTTAGTGCTTGAAAATGAAGTTCGGTGTTGTGAGTTCTTAACGATGAGGCCTCTCATTCGCGTTAAGTTACTCTTATATATAATAATTAAATAGAAACGAGACTAACTCTCGAAAAAGTGCATTTTATGTAAAACATTTTCATTTTCTTATGCGCTTAGATGTTTGATTCTATCCGCGCGGTATGTAACATACATAACATACATGTGGTTTATTTTTTATTTTTTTATTTTTTTTGTGCAATATATTTTTTCTTTGTTTCTTTAAGTATTATATAATTAATAATCGCTCATTAAAATTATGATCGTAAATATAGTTTTATGCACTACGTATGCCTTTATTCATAATAAATATTTGTAAGTATTTGTTTATTTACTATATGTAGATGATTGAAAGCACAATCGTGCTTATATAACGATTGATTGTGTGTGATGGCGATGATGATGACGATGATGATGCTGATGCTGATGATGATGACGCTGCAATAAAATTTTAAAGAAACCAACTAAATTATTTATGCTTAACGTTCATTAATATTTAGTTAACAAAATGCATGATGCACTCATTTGTTTAACATATATATATTCACACATGCATGGTAAGTGTGTATGTCTACTTATCGCTGCTGGTATACTTGTATTCTAATGGTTATTAAAACTCTAGGTAAAGGTTTAGAATAAAAATTCTGAAAGTGTGATTTGTTTTGTTTCGTTGTTTTTTGTTTATTATTATGTTTTTTGTTTTTTTTTTTTTTGCCTTTTTCTGTTTTTTTCATTGAAAACGCTCATCTATGCAGCATTTGCACATTAAGTGCTGCTTAAGATCACGATTATATAAAAGTTCGATGAAGCAATAAGTGTAGCATCAGTGCATTTAACGGTTTTAAGAACAACACATCGTTCAGAATTGTTGGATATCACTAAAGTTAATTAAACATAATAAAAGGATATTTTGTTAAGTAAAGCAAGGATGCGTGTGTTTGTTGTGTTCGTGACTTTGAGTTTGGCTATTGCTGCCGTCTCAGCCGGTTTCTTGGGTGGCGGTGGCGGCGGCTTTGGAGGAGGCGGTTTCGGTGGCGGTGGTCATGGTGGTGGTGGGTATGGAGGCGGGGGACGCGGCGGCTTCGGTGGTGGTGGCGGGGGACATGGAGGTGGTGGATATGGTGGTGGTGGCCGCGGCGGTTTCGGTGGCGGCGGCCATGGCGGTTTTGGAGGTGGAGGTCGCGGTGGCTTTGGGGGTGGCGGCCATGGCGGTTATGGTGGTGGTGGTGGCGGTCGTGGAGGTTTTGGGGGTGGTGGCGGCCATGGCGGTTTCGGCGGTGGTGGTTTTGGTGGTGGTAAACGAGGCGGCGGTGGTGGTTTCGGCGGACACGGTGGAGGTGGCTATGGCGGTGGTGGTTTCGGTGGTGGCCATGGCGGCGGCGGTTTCGGTGGCGGCGGCCATGGTGGATTTGGTGGTTCTGGAGGCTACGGCGGCGGTGGATTTGGCGGTAAACAAGGCGGAAGCGGTTATGGCTGGTAAATCTATTCTTCACTACTTCCTTAATTCAAATCCATTTTTATATTTTAACTCATTCGGAAATTTAAAATTATTGTTTTATGCGGTATTTAAAAATTTGTGTGAAATAGAAAAAATTTGTGATTGTGTGTAAATAAAAATTGCTTTTGTTGCTAGAGTATCAAAAATCTCAAAGGTTCTCATTTTTCATCTGCCCTTACAAATAATTTTACATCGCTTCTCGCCGATAGGAAATATTCGATATAAATTTCCTAAACTCTCTTGACTGTACTGTAAACTGTAAGGTAAACTGAAAATAATGACAAACTGGAAGAACGTGTGTAATTCCGAAACAAATTAAATCTATCCAAAATATTTTTACTTATGTAAAACTTGATCGGTTAGCCAGTGTTGAATAAGGTTGCATAGAAAGTTGCACTTCACTAAATCGTAGAACTTCAGTTCATCAATTTTGAGCTTTTTCTCTTTCTTCTTCTTCTTTTATTTTTTTTTTCAACTTCGTTAGTTACTAATATCCCTTCATCGTAGCAAACATCGTTGCTAAACGAATTAAAAGAAATAGCGATGCAATAGCGAAATTATTCACAAAGCATTTAATGTTCCGCAATTGTTCGCAATTCTCGCAGAAAGGAATAATGTTTTGTTTGGATCTGTTTATCTCAATTAACCGATAGTACATTTTTTGATTACACTTATATTGAACAAAGCATAAGTATTTTTGCTTTATCACGATTTGTCATCCAAGACTAATAACGGGTATATATATTCCGATAGCTCGTCGTAATGTACAATATATTTAATAACGATTTGCTATCGGATTTCTAATGATTTGAAATTTTACTGAATATCCCTTTCCTAAAATTTTTCATATCCGCCTTAGTGGCCGAATAGGCAAGAGTCTCGACTAGCAACTAAATGGTCGTGGGTTCAAATCTGAAGTGCGGCAGAGTTTTTAATAAAGCCGAAAACCTTAGATGCTAGTGCTTTAGGAGCTTAGTCTTAGAATTTATTCTCTGGCTAAATTTATAATAATAATAATAATAATAATAATAAAATTTAGGTTTCTGATGGTTAGCATTAAAGATGTCTTTGTACGCTTCACAAACCAACTGTCATGTCTATGTTAAAGGGGCCAAAACTTTAGTAAAAGCTCTTCTCACGATCTCAATATGATTTCAAATACAAAATGGTTTTTTTTCAAAGGCAACAATCGGCAGGCATTTGGTCACAAGATCTCCGATCTCAATTCGCCTCAGCGATCGGAGAAACTATCGGATCCCGGAATCTCTTACGTAAAATTGATATTTTGATACATTGTCTTTGTTAACGCTCAAAATTATTTTTTCCTTGCAGAAGTGCATTGCCGTAGCACGATATTATTCAGTATTTATCGTAAATGTATGCGTAGGTCGAGGCTAATGAAGGCATTAAACCGGAAACTTAATAGTTACCTGTTGCAGATTATTTTGATCGTCAAGTGTACAAAATTGTAGATTAACGTAAACAAGACTTGCCTTTGATGTCCATTGCTGATGGCAAAGGTTTCAAATCGCATAGCTACCATGCTGTAAGTAGTTTAGTGCTAGCAGAGCTAATTGAGTTACTGTTTAGATTTTGTCGACTTAAGAATGCGAATCCCCTGAACGGATTCTCGGGAATCTCTTGAGTCGTTCAAGGACACTTTCATTAACAACGGGCTGGTTTTCTTCTAAATCAAATGATCAGGCTTCTTAGTACACAGCGAGATCGGCTGATGTGATTGTAAGACTATTTTGTACCCATCAACAGAGTTGCGTTCAGTATACTGTTTGCTGTGGACGTGTTTTGCTCAATTTGTGTTATTTCCGATACGATCCTACTTGCAAGAACTTCCAATGCTTGCGTCAAATAAGAAGCTTCATTATTATGACCAGGAGAATGCTTACCGCAGACATTACACCGATAGGCAGACCGGCAGACGTATATGCTTAAATCGGTTTAGAATCAAAAATATACATAACAGGTGTTTGCATGTTCTTTGATCAGTGAAATGATAAAGCAATGCGAAGTATCGGGGTACATAACGGTTAAATTCCTCTACATAAAATAAAAATTTCCATTTACTGTTATATGATTGAGTTGTTCAGTGTAAACGGACGTTGTTTGCTTTGAAGAATTTTGCTGCCGAAACCCATCAAACACTTTTAGAGCTTTATGGCGATGCTGCTTCATCACATTCCGATTATCAGGTCTTTGTTTCAACGGGTTAAAAGTGACAATTTGGAATGCAATGGCAAGGAACGGCCTAGAGGACCAAAGATTTCGAAAGACATTAAATTTCAACACTTATTAGACGAAAACCCAGCCCAAACTCTCAAAGAAGTTTCGACAGCTTAGAAGTGGAGTCAATCAGCTGTTTCCAGTTGTCTACATGCGGTGGCAAACTTCCCAAAGGAGGGAGAGTGACTACGAACTGATTAAAAATTGCATTTCGAACCTTTTCAACATCGCGGTTTCATTGCTCGCCTGGTCAAAAGAAGAAGAATTTTTTGTAGTGTGTTTTAACTGACGATGATAAGTGAGTCTGCTACGACTATCCCAAGGGCAAATAGTTATGGGTTTGCCCATAAGAGCCATCCACATCGGCACCGAAGCGGAATCTTGATGGCTACAAAGTTTTGCTGTGCATACCGTGGGATCAGGATGGTGAAGAGTATTACGGGCAGTTAAAATCGAATGAAACTGTTACTGTATATGTCTAACGAAGTCAATTGAACCAATTCGACGATGTATTGTTGTAAAAATCCCAGCAGTAGTGGTTAAAAGACCCCAAGTCATCTTCCAGTTTGACAACGCTCGGCCATACGTTGTAAGAGTTGTCAATGACGTAGAATGGGAAATTCTGGAACGCCCAGCGTATTCGCCATCCGTGCACAAGACGTATCGTCTTCTGATTACAATTTGTTCAGATCGACGCAGCATGGTTTGGCTGGCACGCGGTTTCGAAATGTTGAAGAAGTGCGAAAATGGGTCTGTGATCGGATCACTGTCAAAGCAATATTGTTCTTTCTAAAAAAAAACTATCCACCATTTAAGAGTAAACTGATCTTTCGACACGCCCCTACAGGTAGTCTTGAAACTTTGTTCACAAGCGCACACACCTGGGGGATCAAAAGCCTGAAAAGGAATGGAATGAGCACAGCAATCTCTGATGTCAAGTCTTAGCTCAAGATGACCCTACTAAAATGTATTTATTAGTAGAACTTCCCGTCCTCCAAGTCGCATTCCTATTCATCTTTTTATGGAGACAAGTTTCAAAATCAAAACGAATTTCACGGTAAATATTGAATAATAAAATTTAACTTATTACGTAATATAACTGAACTATTTTTCATCAAAGCCTTAAGTCGCTGTAATTATAACCGAATTATTTCACCGTCTGAGTGGCATAATGCGTTTTGCTATTTGTATCATTCGCCAAAGATATTTAATTCTATCAACTTATCATGAAAGTGTCCAGTCAGTCGACTGCTTGGCCTTCTCATTACAGGCTATAACAATCCCGCGCCATTTATTGAGAAGGAAAGGTACGGGGACCCGGTCGAACAGGATTACCGGTTTACCAAGCAATCAAATTTTAATTAAACATTTGATAAAGTGTCGAGTTGTTAGCTTGACCGAATTTCGCTTTTTAAGGAAGCTAATGAACTAAATGTGGAAATCAATTATGGACTCGCATATAGCTTCATTTAACTTCGTATGTTCAAGCCACCTGCTATTGGTCCTGGCCGAAGCACGATCACTTTGTGACGAATCCTAAAATGTCTTCGTTCTCGATTATAAAAGTCTTAAAGGCCGTCAATAAGTAGCATCACAATTATTCGTTAGTTGAAAAGAGATATTGCGAAATATGGAAGTTCCAAGGATACATTCAATATTAGATGACCCATGAAAAGCATCACCGACTACAGGTCATTCCAATCAATCCTTATAGAAGTGTGGATCGAATAATAGAAGTTTGAGGTCATTTTTAGTTTCTCACTGATTTTTTTTTGTCACTGGAAATCAAATATGATATATTTGTTATTTATATACACATACATACACAGTTTCCTTTTATTGATGAGATAAACAACACTTTTTAAGTATAAAAAACGATTTATATAAAAAAAAAAATATATATATTTATCACCGAGTCGAAGCACTTTTTTTGTTTAGATGAGTTGTGAAAAGATGAAAAAGTAAGATCAAAGAAAAGAAGAAACGGAAAGAAAACTGAGGAAATGCTGATGAACTCGCTAGAAGCATTACCACTTCCAGCCACTGCCACCACCGCCACCGCCACCATAAGACCAACCACGGTGGCCGCCACCGCCTCCTCCAAGAGACCAGCCACTGCCTCCACCAGATTTCCAGCCGCCGCCACCACCACCGCCATAAGGCCAACCGCCGCCACCGCCACCGCTCCCTCCTCCCAGAGTAATCACTTTCACAATTTTAGAGCCACCGCCGCCGTAGCCTCCAAATCCGCCGAAACCACTACCGCCGCCACCGAATTTGGACGACCATCCCGATGAGCCGGACCAACCGCCACCACCGCCGCCGCCCGAATAGTACGATTTGCTAGGCCAGTATGCTGAAGAGCCACCGCCGCCAGACCAGCCGCGATTGCCACCGTACCAGCCACCTCCGCCGCCGCTACCACCACCCCCGCCACCCCAATATCCTGCCATAACATGCGAGCTTAAACCCAACAATAATATAACTGCAGCACTTTGCATTGTTCTTATTTCCTTTCCAACCGCTTTGCTTGAATTATTAAGACTGTTAGTGTTTGCAGAACAGTACCGTGTATTTATACATAAAACATTTGGAATTAGTTGTTAGGAATTCTGAACACAGACAACAAACAAAGCACAAACAGCCAATCATGAAGCCAGAGACTCCGATTTTGTCAAATATCTACCGAAGAGATTATATTCTATAAGAAACTTTACCACTTTACCCCAAGCACGCAGCACACCAACGACCATAAAGTGTTTCATTCTCACACAAGGTAAATTATAATTTCAAACTTTAATGTTTTCATTATAGTAAGAAGCAAGTGTTGTTGTTGGTTTTTTTCTCTATAATATTTTATTTTCATATTATACGCTGTATATGTCAGTTAGACAGGCAGTCAGGCTGTTAGGTAGTCAGTCAACGGGCCTTCCTCAAATTTGACGGTGGGTGGGTAACAAATTGCATGTTGTGCTATTTAGTTTTACGTTGTTCCATTGTGATGATCAATTGTGTTAGGCACTTTATTGCTACAATAATAACATTGCTAGTGAAACAAATCATAAAAGTGACACCGTAACAGCTTTTCAACTTAAAGAGCAATTTAGTAATCGAACGCCTGCAAACAATACCTATCATTGTTAGCTGCAGGGTTTCACCCTGCATAGAAGCAATGCCGGCGATCTAGACAATGCATCACAATACGGCACAACAAAAGACAAATGTGCGTTTGACTTCTATAACCACAGCAATAGGCATTCATTGCTGGCGTTGTGAAAAAAAAAAAGAGTTATTTTTTTATTTTTTTTAATTTATCATAATCAACAAGTGCATCTGCGTATTTAGCGTTTCATTCGTTTTTGTTTCTTTTTATTGGGTTCTCTCGCCTCACAGCTTACGGTATGTGCAAGCATGCTCAAGAATGCCAAAAAAACGGCAACATGAGCCAAATTGAAATTGTTAGTATAAACAACATCTTATCGTGCAGTAGTAGTAGTAGTTGTTACTCACCATCACCATCAGTGGCCATCAGTGGTGTCAGAGAACTTGCGCTTGTTATACAATACATTTTGTAACTACTCCAAAGTCAACAGTCAACAAGGGTGAGCGGAAATTATGCGAATGCATATAATTTTTAAAGCCAAATTTTTCTTCTTTTTTGTTTTGTCGTGTCGTGTGTGTGCTCACGTATGCGTTTGCATATATATTTATTTGAAATTTATTGGCATACACACATACCGATTATGATGCCTATGCTTGTTACATTAGTCATTACTCATTCGCGCCATTCATTCATTCATTCATTTGAATGCATAATGTTTACAACAATTTGATATAAAAAAAAAAATAAAAAAAAATGTTGTTATTGTTATTACATTTACACACATAAATTTAACTAATTATAAAGCGATACGTGTGAGAAAAAAAATTTTTATATAAAATACTTATGCAAATAAGGGAGGGCGAGCGTATGTTTGCGATTTGCAATTTATAAGTGATTTTTAAATCTACATACGTACGATTTTACAAGTATGTGTATGCATATTTGGAGCATTCATGCATATATAAAAATTGTACAAGATCATCGGCGGTAATTAAGTAATTTATTGGCATTGATAACAAATTCCCACATCGAGCTCTTGTCCATAGACAACGCAGTTGAAAATTCGCTTTCGATTGTTTTTAACGATACAAGCGTATTGTGATTTTGTTACACAAATGGAAATCAATTTGCGTGCAGGTAAAGTATCGCACAAGTAGTACTAGCAGGCAACAGTTTATTTATCAGATGCTTTTCTTAGCAGGCGCAGGTCCTGCCTTAATTGCATTCGGCGAATCTTTTGTTCATCATTCCTTACGAAAAGAGGAAAAAACTTGCCCACCCAGCTTAGTATTAGCAACTGATTCGAACGGTACGCAGTATGGAGAATCTTCTGGTATTATATATCTGTAGTTTCCTATTATAATATAATGCCTGAGTATATAGATAAAAGCTATCAAATACGAAAAAATTTTTCTTTGGCGGATCTTTTGAATAAAAAAAAAAAAAAAATAAGCAACTTTATTGGATTATCTTAGAACGTAAACAAGCGAAAACATTATAGTCGAGCAAGGGCCCATTTCATAGCCATTTAATACCCTACGTCATTTTGCCTAATATCATTTTTTATCTTTTACATGGTATCCATGTAAAGGCATACAGGTTCTTCGATCCAATCAATTCCAATTCAAGGGGAACCGTGCTTAGGCCAAAGAATATAAATGTGCGAAATTTTCCCAAAGTATGGCGGTAAGGATGGTGTGTAGGTTCAACATAAAAATACATGGGCAATCATTAGACAGATAAGCAGATGAATGGATGGCTTAGATGAACAGTCAAGTCTAAAAATTGATTCAAAAATCATTTTCTATTCGCTGAAATGAAAGGAAGATCTATTTGAAGACCTTATAAGTATCACATACATCCACATAAGTGCTATGGGATATGAAGAGTATCTCAGACTTTGTATGCGATAATATTATAGGCAACGCTAGCTGCAGGCGATATAATCTTCAACATTCTGTTTATAACCCGCTTTGAATATAAATATCGTACAGTTTCGTTTGGCTACCTTAATAGCCTTTAGGCTATCTACATCCTTCTCATGTTTTGAAACGATTCCTATATCTATAATCCTTTGCTTGAAATTACAATAAAAAAAAAAAAACAAAAAAGAAGTCCAACCCGGATTAATAAAGATTACATTTTTTCATCTAAACAATTTTGGGAAATTAATAAATTATTTATATCATTACGCCTGGAATATGAAGAAAACTTCATCCCGAAACACTTATCCTAAGTACTGTCTTAAACAATTGAAGCATTCCGAAGTGTTCTTCTGTTTGCGATTAAGTGAAATTTTCGGTCTTGGAAAACTAAGATTTGCCGCAAATATTCTAAATCGGGTTTGGAAAGGTCGCTCTTACTTAAAATCAACTTTAGTCGCTCTATAATCATTGCCAAGCGAATTGTATATAAGATTTTTTATTCCGATTTCAATATAATAAAGCGTCAGAGATCCGATTGATTAGCTTAGCTTAGCTTAGCTATAAGGGATTAGTCATTGGAGGGGATCAATAATAATTCGACTTTTGTTACAAAAAAAATGCTATTTTGATCATCGATCGCCGATCTAAACTACGAGTATATTTACGAAGCTTAAGAGTGGATAACGAATGCACAAATCGAAGTCATATCCGAGAGATTGTGTTCGATAATGTATTGCGTAAATACAAACCCGATAATAAAGTTAACAGAACTCACTTGTATGATAAGTGAATAGCTTTTGCTTTTGTTGCGTAGCTGCTGCCTACGTTGCCTGTGCAATAAATATCCGAAAATTAAATTAATTTGTGGTTTATTACTTCAAGGCTTGAATTTTTTTTCAAAGAGTTTCTATTATTTTGGCAAATTATAGCTTCCATGATTTCATCGCAATGAACCGCTGAACCTTTGGCACAAGTTTCGTTAAAGGTCTCACCAAACGGCCATAATAGTAATGATTAGGTGGGCGTGCGCTTCAGTGCCATTTTAAAATAATCAAATGCAAGGAAAGTGAATACGCTTTGTATTGATAATAAATCAAATGCACAAAATAAAAGCACGACAGCGGGCAGAGCGACAGATGTTTAATACTAATACAATTAATGTTTAAGCGATTGTTGAGTAAGTTGGTTAATATAATTAATTGAGGTTTGATTTAATAATTTTTATTTTTTTTACTTATTTAATATTCAATTAATGCAATAAACAATAAATAAGCGAACAATAATTAAAGCTATAAACCATTCTTTAACAGAATCTTACATAATCATTACTATTAGACTACAGCGTACGAATTTTTATTAATAATAATGTAGTTTCAAGAGCCCAGCTCTCAGACGGGTATTTTTTAGCGGTCGAAAGTTGTTGATCAAAGTGCAATGCTTGCAAGTCTGATCAAGTTCTGATCGGCGGCATCTGTTGGTCGAAAATGATAAAGTAATGCGAAGTGTCAACATATACACAACGGCTTAAATCGATGATTTTCACCTCTCTCTATAGAAAATATTTTGATTAATACACATTTTATCAGTTTCCCCCAATAAATGCCTTTTCGAAGTGAAAAGAAGAAAAAATGATCATAATACATGCAAATGCAACCACGATACAACAACACATACATTCCGCGGTATGCACAATAAGTTCTCCCATAATATATATTGTAGGGAGTTACAAATGGAACGACTTAACTATCATACCCGTTTGCTTTCACGACGAGCATAAAAATCAGTTACCGTAGCTAACGCCAGTTACAGTTTGAATTAATTCAGAAGATACTGATTACATAAAGTATACGCCTTTATCTATGCATACACTTGCTATGCACCTTTGTTACCTGCATTCTTGGCATCTAAATGTTTTTAGTATGACTTCAGCCTTGACCAAATCTTTTTTAAAATATTAAACATATATTTTTTTTTTTTTTTTTTTGCCTCTACCATTAACCTTTCTGTGTACATGACTGTAAACAATATTTACGTTTTTTTTTAAATGATAACAAACAAAAGTTAAGCGCTTACCTAAACTAATGATTAATAATTCTACCGTTGCCGACTTAAGCGTAAAATCCATCGATTGCCCAAGAAATTGGTTTATGATCTAAGTGTAATGCAACTCTAGTCACATTTTAATCAGAAGCGTAGTTGCATTTACTTTAATTTCAACTTAACATCTCTTTCTTTGTTATATGTTATCTTGAACGTTGAAAATTTTTTGTATTGTATTGAGCTTAATAGCTCCTACTTGGACGAAATAATATTCAAAATAAGAAGTTTTGGATGAATGATGCGACGGGTAGCCGGTACTGAAAACTTCCTAAAAGAAATATTTAATCAATTAATTTGTGAATTTTCCATTGCTGTGCGACCTTGCAGTACAGGGAAGAATGGAAGAATCATTTATATGGGTGCAATAATAAAT